TTCGTCGGGGGTATCATCGAGCATCCCGGTAGACATACCTACTAGCACATACCGGTAGCAGTCCAACTACGAATAGAGTATCACGGTATCATCATGGATAATCGAGGCGTGAAGCGACCCCGTAGTAGCACTCCAGGAGGAGATGGTGCGTAATTTTGCATTCAAGGCGATGTTGTGGATGTGCCTATTATTTTGTTGTACTTGAGTTGTGCTAACATGGTTGGCGTTGTTTGATTTGTTCTTTTTTTGCGTGTTGGTGATGGTTGGACTTTCTTATTACCGCACGCTACAAGAACAGATAGCACTACGAAGAACAAAAAGGACAAGCTGAAAAAAAAGAAAAGAACAAGCAAATCCCAAGAAACCAGAAAGCAAAGATGAAACTACCAATTCCTTGGAAGAGTGAGTTTTGTGTTCCCAATATATTATTCAGTACTCAATTGTTCCTCCTTCTGACTGATTCCATGTCAACGTTTTGTTTGCTGTTTTATTATATTATTTAAAATATAACAGAACCGCCACAGCCGACGGTCGACACATGGCCAAGCTGCTGTCGACATTTTCCAAAATCGAAATGAGTCGGTTCGAAGCCTTTAAACGGGTATCTTTTCCCTGCGATGCCATTAGCGACTATGTGGCCCATTGTCTGGCAACACGTCAAGGAGCCCTGCCTCGGCCGCAACCCGTTGGAAAATTTCTCAATTTTGACAACCAACAACCTCGTTTGGAAGATTTGGTGGTTCCGGGTCAACAAGAAGAAATCACCACCGTGGTGGCCACTTTGGCCAAGGCATATGCCCAACGATTGGTGGCGGCTGCCAAGGTCGTCAAACAACAACAACAACAATCTGCAGAAGAGACGAGCAAAAGTGGGGAGACAACTTCTACTGCGAGTAGCAATAGCAACAACAACAAAGAAAACCGCCATTCAACCAGAACATGTCTTGCAAGCCTTTTATGCCCGTCGGCAGCAAGGACAAGATCCAGGTTTCTTCTTGCAAGCCAACGAGTGTATCAACATTGCCACACAACCCATGGACAACAACAATGCGGGCAAGGAACAAATGAAACTGGTGGCGGCATTGGCCGCACAGGAAGAGTGTGATAAAACTTTTAAAGAATACAAGGAGGCTTACGAGAAGAGAAAACTTGACGAGAGCAAGAGAAAAGCTGATAACGAGAGCAATAAGGAAAAGGCAAATAACGATACCGAAATGAAGGAGGAAAAGATGAATACAGAGATGAAAGAGTCTGACGAAGAGAAACCGGCAACGACTACAACTGAAGTAAAAGCCCCTGCCGCAGAAGAAGCCACAACAAATAATGCAACAACAAAACCTGAAGATACCACAAAGACAACAACAACAAAACCTGAAGATAGTGACAGTGGAGACGACGATGAGATTGATCTAGAAATGGACGAAGATTGAGCGAAACCAAATAAAGAGTGGATGAGTTTCGGTTTCTGGACGCACTAGTCGTCAGTTTTTTGGGATACCAATGAATTGTTGTGCACGACCGCCAATATGTACCGTACCGTAAGGCAGAGACCCAGCGTATGGTAGCCACAATTGTGTGTACGAGTATGAAACCTGCTACTGCTAGAGCTCCCAAAAGAAGGGAAACAAAGAAGTGCCTATGTCAATGTCCACGATCTTCACAACGGAAGGGCGAAACGATGCTGTTGAATCAATCACTCAAACTAGAATTAGTCGACTGACTCGGCTCGAATCCTGTTAGATTGATAGAATGCTTGATCTGTTGAGGAAGGTTTCACATTTTAAAAATCCGTTCTCGGCGAGCACAAGTGGATTGATCCACCATCTAACACAGAGTGCATTTATTAGTCTTGAACCCAAACGTTCCGGTATCGTCCACGCAAACAAACTGCTGCTTAACAAATGCAGTCAACTTGTGGTTATTTGTAATTGGAAAAAGTTCAAGGACGCATTAACCGGAGCCTTCCGAGTCCTTGCCTTTCTCCGACTGTTTCAAGTACAGGTACTGTTGAAACTTCTTGAGTTTGACGAGAGGATGTCTCATGAGCCATCCATTGCCCAGATCCTTTCCGTGCTCGCGTTCCAACTCTACGGCTTCATCGTATAGTTTGTCAAAATCAAACGAGGGATCAATCTGGGTACCTCGATAGAACCAGATACCTTTCTCCCAGTGACGATAGGTGATACCGACACCGGTGGCCATTTTCTCCACTTGTCGCATAGCTCTTCGACAGTTGGTCTCTGAGATATGGTCTACTTGGACCAAGAAATCTTGGAATTGGTTCACCCAATTGGGCAAATGCTCCAGTTTGGCTCGATCTTCGTCGGTCAACTCGACCGCGCGGTGACTAAGCTTACTACTCTTTTTACTAGAAACTTTTGGCAAGTCGTCTTCTACTAATCCTTGTGGATTGGATGGTGCCACGGAACGGAGACGGGCGGACAATCGAGATGGGGCCGTCTTATTGCTTTGAGTTTGTTTCTTATTGCTCCGTTGGTTCTTGTTCCTGCTGGCATTCTCCTTGTTCATGGCCTCAATCTTGTCCAATTCAAATTTCTGGTGGAGATACCGCCGATTGGCCACCGACAAATCTTGGTAGGTATAGTACTTGCCATCTTTTCCCTTGTGATAGGCTTTGCTATTCCTCTTGGCTTTTTCGCGTAGCCCTTGGGGACTCTTCTTTTGTAGGATTCCACCACCGCCATGGCGTGTTGATTTTTTGAAATTCTGAGGGAGAAGGAAACCGTCTCTTTGTAGATGGCGCGAAGTTAACCCCTAGCCCTACCAAAACGGAAAGATCCAAAGATTGTTAGAAAGGTATTTTCGTATGACGGACAGACGACTAGGGATCCACAGTCACGGTTCATGATTGGGGATATGTGACTCAGATTCAGATGGTGATCCGATCATCATCAGATGGCCAGGTGTACGAGGAACGAGGACAATGGTCGTCTAGATGATGCAACTACAAAGGATAGGAAGTTAGGTCGAAGAGATGAATGCAAGGAGCAATGGGACGGAGCAAATGAATGGACGGATGAAGGTCCACAGGTTTAGTAAAGTGGGAAAGCCCTCCAGGGCCAACCATGCACTTCAGGAAGATAGACCGATGAGATCTTTCTGCAGATGAAACTGCGAGAAACAGATCCTGGTACATATATGCATATTGGAGCCCAGTTGTAGAGCTCACAATCTGAACGAGAGAGAAAGAGAAAACGAAACGAATTGCCAGTCTACTAGACAGTAGAGCTGGAAGGATATTGATTAAGTTAGAGAAATTGTGCCTTCAAGTTCACACCTTTTCAACAAAAGATCAGCACTTCACACACATCCCAACAACAACTCCACAAAGTGCACCGCTTGCACCGCATCACACAAGATAAAAGTCAAGCAAGATGGCGGAAGACGATAATAATAATACGAAACGCAAAGAGCCCGACGACGATGAGATTCAAAAGCTGCTGTCGTTGCGAAACATTCCGAGTGATATTGCTGATCTGACGGCATTGACAAAGTTGGATTTGCCCGATTGCAAGTTGACATCGTTGCCATCCTCCCTGCCCGATGCGCTCCCCAATCTGAGCATCCTCTTCTTGTCCAAAAATGAGTTCACCGAGGTTCCACCCGTCATTGGAGCCTGCAAGAATCTACAGGTAAGTATAGATAGTATCCATCGGTTCGTTATTTCTAATTGGTGACCATTATTTTTGTCTCACATCCCCTCTGTTCTCTTTTGTGTTTTGGTTTGGTTTTTCTACCATGCATAGATGGTAGCGTTCAAGGGTAACAAGCTGAAATCCATCCACCCAGATGCTCTACAACCTCAAATGAGATGGTTAATTCTCACGGATAATCAAATAGAATTCCTACCCGATACCATTGGTAGGTGCACAAAGCTGCAAAAGTTCATGCTTTCCGGAAATCACTTGACCCAACTACCAGATGCCATTTCCAAGTGCACCAATCTGGAACTGATCCGACTCTCGTCCAATCGTCTCGAAAAGGTAAGTCGTTTGGTATACAGTACGATACTGGAGGGTGTCGTCCCAAAAAGAATATCCATTTCGTTCTGATTCCACTTTTTACTTACGTGTAATTTTGACATGGCTGATTTGATTTGGATTGATGCTATCGGAAAAGCCACCCATGAAACTATTGGAATTGCCAAATCTATGTTGGGTAGCTGTATCTGGAAATCCATTCATTCAAAATGCCCCTCTCGCTGCGGAAGCCATGAAACTCAAACTACCCACCATTGACGATATCCCGGAAGGAGAGGGAGAAGTGCTGGGAAAGGGCGCGGGCGGTATCACTCGCAAAGTGACCCGAAGCAGCAACAACCAGGTTGTAGCGGTCAAAACATATGTCGGTGCCATGACGTCCGATGGTAGCCCCGAAGAAGAACGACGCATGGCATTGACCGTTGCCAATAAAGTTCCCGACAATGACTTTCTCATTGCATTACGCGGAGAAACAAAAGAATCGGGATCCTTGGTCATGGAATACCTCGACAATTATCATGCGCTGGCGGGTCCTCCCAGTTTGGAATCCTGCTCGCGAGATGTCTACTCTTGCCCTCACGACTACATGGCCGAAACACAGGCCGTGTCCATGGTGACGGGGCTCTTCGATGTGCTGACCCAATTGCATGCGCATGGGATTTGTCATGGAGATTTTTATGCACACAACATTCTCGTTTGCAAGGATGATCGAAACAAGGTCAAGTTGAGCGATTTTGGGGCGGCCTTTTTCTACGACAGTACCGCAGACTATGGCAGAATGCTGCAGCGAACCGAATTGCGAGCATTTGGTCATTTTGCGAAGGAGGTGCAAGAACTCTTTGTCAAAAGTGACGAGAAGGACAAGCTGGAAAAGCTCGTACAGGCCTGTCGGGAAGACTCGGCCAGCTTTGCACAAGTCAACAAACTATGGAAGGAACTTTTAAACTAATTATTCTAGAACCATTAGCAGGACTTGGGTAGCACGATTTGGACATGAGTAGCTAGCAGGCGATGGGTAGATGGGACGGACTAAGCAGACCGAGGCTTTTTCTTGGACGAATCACTCGTTGTGTCCTCACTCTCCATCCTTCGTTTGTACAGAGTCGGTGGATCGTCGTCCATCGTCATGTTCTCGAGGTCGCACAGCGATGGTTTGGTAGAAAGCAAGTAGAATAGGCAGTCGAGGTCACCTGCGACTTGAGTGAGAGTTTCAACCCACCGCTGTCGGGGTGCAGCACGCCCGGTTTCCATCAAGTTTCGCCTCCCGGCCCTATTCAACCTGCAATACATCTCAATCTTCTTTTGCAAGGAATCAATCAGTCCCAAAAGCGAAACCTTCATGAGAGAGTAGTTGTCCTTCAATGTGTTCACAAAGGCATCTTGGCTGGATTTGCAGAGTCGAGTTCCATGCATAGTAAGCTCCTGAAGAGTGCGATTGCTTTGTTGGAGGGTTAGTGCAATAGGGAGGTAATGATCATCGTCCACGGTTGTCTCGTCACTGTCGTCCTCTGTATCCCCCGATGTCCCCGACTTGGTAATATCGATATCAATGTTCGTACTTTCTATGTGTATATTGCTAGGAGATGCATTAAGAAGCAATGTGTGAGCAACATGCTGCCATCTGATGCCGTTGGGATAGGCCTGAATTTCTTCCACGTACCTGTATGTGTTATGAATACTCAGGATCTCTAGGGATGCATTCTGTCTAAGGCATTGAGCAAGCGCCAAGCAACCTGGCTCTTCTAGACGGCATGTCACTTGTAGTTCTCGAAGGATCTTGTTGCTCTGCATGGCCGTCGCCATGGCAATCATGCCTTCATCTGGAATGTGGCACTTGGAAATGTTTATAGATTCCAACGTAGGCACATAGCACAACATTCCGAGCGTCACATTTGTCAAGTCACCTCCAAAAAAAGATGGTTGAAAGGAGAGCGACTGCAGAGACCTGCTTGCCGTGATGGCCCGGAGCAAAGGGTCAATGGACAAACCCACCGCCATGCGTGTTTGCTCAGACAGCCAACACGTGCAAGACAGTTCATGGAGCGAAGAGTGATTCCGAATCACTCCCTCCAACGATGCAAAGTCCTTGGTGTTACCAGATAGTTGAACATCTCCAAGATGTAGGATTTGCAGTCCCGAAGCCCGTTCCAGGACTGCCACGAGTGTGGTCATGGGTAGAGCATAGCGCGGGGACAGCTGTTCATCATCCGCCAGGTTGGATTTGAGCGCCATCTGACGGAGATTTGGACGGCTACTGATGGAGCGAAGCAACGAGCCCATGTCTTGTATAGTCCTCTTGTCACAGGAAGCATCCAAGAGGAGTTCCGCATGTTGTAGACTGGTGTTGACTTCGATTGCCGCTTGTATCTCAGCTAAGTTTGTAGTGGATAACAGCTCCAGGCGAACATGACTTGCAGTGTTATCTTTTAACGAGTCCAGCAACTGCGGTGCTGAAATCGGCGCATCTCTGGTTGCTTCTTCTGTCATGCCCTCGTCCCATGAAAACCTCAGATATCTACTATGATTCAATGGCGTCAGCACCAAAATCTGTCATTGCTTCACTGCTGTTCGAAATTTATGACCCTGGCCTCACGTTCTGTATCCTTCGTTGAACCAAGTCACCAGCCACTCCCTTTTGGCAAACCAACGATCCGGTGTCATATAGCCGCCAATTTTAGATAGTGGGTTGTGTCGCGTCGATGGGATGTTCGCCTGAAATTTGACAGCCATCGAAGGAATGAGAAATCAAGTGTCCAAGAAGAAGGGCGCAATTTAGCGTTCCACGATTGGGATGGGATCTTTCCTCGTGGGAAGCCTCGTGGCACGTGACGACCCGAGTTTGCGCACAGGCGGACTGGGCAGCATGGATACCAGTACCTACCCCTGTAATAAACCCACGGGACAGAAGTGTTACTGGGATGCTCAACAAAACATCATGGATGCTCAACCAAACATACATGCTCAACAAGAAGAGTAGTACCAATTCCAAAGGGGTCGGAACCACGGCTGTGGATCCGAGTATTCTGTTGATTCAAAAGCCAGAAGAAAGACCTGGTATTTGTGGGAGAGCACCTACCTTTATGCTTTCTTTACCTGTACTGCAACAGTGAATGAAGAAAAGAGCTACGGCTAATGACGCGAGAGATTTAAACAATGCACTAGTGCATATTACGATTACTTCATAGCATGAAGAGGGATGGATTAGCTGACAGGAAGTAAAAGATGCAATCAATATCGCCCCCAGACGCTGCCAGCGCCTTGATCCACGGCCCCCTCTCCATCGACTCGCGTTGCTGAAGAGAGCGTCTGTCGCTTCGATTCAGCTTGAGGAAAAACTCCATCTTGGGCGTATGGATGCCGCTGTCCAAAAGGGTAAATGCTGTCAAGGAAAGATTTCGTTCCAGGGCAGACTCAAACGCCTTTTCCACCACCTCTTTCCGACCAATACTACATTGACCAGCAAGCCGAAAGTAGTTGAGTGTTGGGTTCAAGGCAAGGCCTCCTGCAATCTCCACCATATCCTTGCGGCTTTTCACCGTGTTCTCAACGTCAAGCTTTATCTTTTCAAGTGTTGTGTTATTTTGCAACATTTGGGAGAGGCGTCTACAAGCCTGAGCGCCCAAGTGGCAGGAGAGATTCAACCGTCTTAATCTCTGGTTCCTAGCCAAAGCTTGAAAGATGACAGATGCTTGTTGATCGTCGACTTCGAAACCTAGAATCATCAACCTTTCAATGGACGATGACCCGCAGATCTTTTCCAGTGACTGTGGAGTTAATTGACCTAGATCATTGGCCCATATGGCTGCAACCTGAAGCGATGGTAGGCTACCCAGTACATGTGCAATGGGGTCGAACAGATAAGTATTCTCTTGAGGATTTGTTGGCTGCTCGGTATCAGACGAAGATATCTGACAGTCAATGAAGCACACTTCTTTTAAGGATTGACATCTTTGAAGATTCTTTGCAAACATTCTGAAGTCTTGATTATCACCACTCAGTTCCAAGTGGTACACATAGAGAACCTCGAGTTTGGTGGCAAGCCTCAAGGCTGCACCCAATGTGGTGATCGGGACAACATTGTAGTTTCCAGTGCCTGGATAAAACTCTAGCTTCCTCAGACGTTTCAACGAATAGCCAATTCTCTCCAAGAAAGACAATGTGTCTAATCTTGGTGTCTGTGTAAAAGTGTGATGGACACAAACGTCTACGTCGGTAACAGACTTGTTCTGCCTCATGAGTTTCGCCAATTTCACCAGGTCTGAGCTCCCCTCAAGCTCTAACCGCATGCAGGTTGGATTTGGCCCATCTTTCGCCGGTGCACCGCTGTCTTTCACCATTGTCTACTTCAGTGGAAGACTAGTGTACCGTAGTGCTTGGAACACCTGACAATCCAGAGAATGCTCAAGGACGCTCATTGTTCGTTCTCTCTCAAGACCGACGGTGCGGGACATCAAATTGTGACCTCGATAAGGAGGAACGTGCCGTGATTGGCAGGCGATGATTACTTAGAACGAAATTGGCGCTCCCGCCCTATGTGACCCGAATGGAAAATCTCAAGTAGCCAGCGGTAATGCTTTGATACACCCCAAACAACAATTATGTTCATTCAATCTTTGAGCTCTGGACACCACAAGGCAAACCGAAATGACAGACCCGCTGTTGAAGATGAGGGAGAAACCAACCAAAAGAAAAGTTGCGGTATCTTGAATGAGCTCTTGGGACAAGGAAACGACAATCAAGCCCAAGGTTTAACTCCTACATCAACTTTTTCAATTGTGTTCACAACACAAGAGATATTGGAAAAGACTACTGCAGTTCAAGAGTGCAAAAAGCTAATGATGCTTCGATTCGGGCTTTCTATTTGTTGCCTTGACCCCCATGGAAACTAGACAAATATGGTTCAATCGTTCTGGAAAAGAAGGATTGAGTCGCACTAGGATCGCAATTCTACATTGTATTTGCTGAGGGGAAGGTCCGCAGTAGTCTAGGCAGACCTAGCAATTTACAATAAGGGTGCAATCATGAACAGCAAGTACCAGGTATGCATACCGGTCATAATGTTCGCCAGTTTTTAGGCGAAGCATTCTGTCAGAACCCAACAAGAAACCTCAAGACCTGGTGGTCATGGCCTCTCAAGGGTTTACCAAGTACTCAACAATTGTACTGCCCTCCAACGACCCAATCTAAACAGATTGGAATAGTAACTCGTAAACGTAGGGTACCTGCCGCAGTACAAACTCATACACATAGGGCATGACGGTCTTGTGTAGGGTAGCAGCCAGAAGAGCCCCTCCCAGACAATCTTCGATCCAATGACAGTGATAAAATATTCTGGCAAAAGCAACTCCCGGATAGAAAATGCCAAATGCAAAAATATTGATAATTGTCATGTGTTGCTGATGCTCTGGCAACAACAAGGGAGCAATGAAATGGAACCAAAACAGAACGGCATTGGCGGCTTGGGCACTGTCTCCACTGGGAAAGGAGTGTTTCGATTTGAGAGATGCCACTAGGGTTCCGTAGCGTCTTAGTTTGGAGGCTCTGAATTCTGCCGACAGGACTGCTTCGGGTCGAGTGGCGCGAAAGGATGCCTTGGCGACCTCCGTGCCAATCAGTGTCACCAGGACCGTGGCCAAGTAGTAGATGGGTGCAAACACGAAATAATCATAGCGTAATGTGTCTGGTGGAGGCATATCCGTCACAACCACACCAGTCAAGGAGACGGCAATCATCCAGAGCGGAATGGAGACTGGATTAAAGGCATAGCCGAATAGAAACACCAGAAACTCGAGAGCATGTGGCAATGACGGAATCGAATGAACCAACTTGTTGAATGCGTGCAGTCCGAGCAGGGATGATAGAGGCGTGCGGTACACTAATTCTGACTGGTGAATTCCCGTTGGATCGTAGGCGATCGCTGTTTTGATGCTGTCCTTGGCTGTCGTCATGGTGGTCGATGTTATTTTATTGACATGCTGAGTTGCCAATGAGATTGTGAAAATAATGGTGTGCATGTTCAAGGAGGTCAGAGGCTCAGAACATGATGGATGCACAAAATCTTGCGGCTTTGGATTGTTTGCTAATGCCCTGAATACCGTATTATAGCCAGCAGAGCTGGTAAAAAGCCGTGAGATGCAGAGATGCTGGTCGTAAGGATCATCCGAAAGAGCACCACAAAAACCGAAAGTGAAGCAACCTCATTCTCTGATCCAAAGATCGACCATGGCTGACAAAGGACCCAACACCAAGGGACGGCAGATCCCCATCGTATGCCCAGGCCACACGAGGCCTTTGGCAGAGCTCCAGTTCTGTCATGTGAAGGAAGAAAACCGAACGCTTCTGGTGTCGGCTTGTCACGGTACGTAGTAGAGTTGGCCTTTGTTTGGGCAACAATGACTGCATGCCGATGCTTTGTTTCTAATATATTAATTATTTTTCGTCATATATGCAGACAAGATGCCCATGATGCGCGACGGGACTTCAGGTGATTGGATTGGAACTTTTGCCGGCCACAAGGGTGCTGTCTGGAGTTGCCAATTGGATTCGTCGGGGAGTCTTTGTGCCACCGCCAGCGGTGATTTCAGTGTCCAGGTTTGGGACGCTATTACTGGTCAATCCTTGTGGCAGTTCCCTCACAAGCACATTGTCAAGACGGTCGACTTTACACCCAATTTGAAGCGACTGGCGTCGGGTGGACATGAAGGTATTGTACGAATCTTTGATCTCCAACAGGCCGCACAGCAGAAAAAGCTGGATCCAGTGGCAGAAATTCCCCAAAGTCCAGCCACCAAAATCCTCATTGCCAAATGCAAATGGTGGACCGATTCCATCTTGTTGACGGGAAGTTCCGATGGAAAAATTAGATTTTGGGATATCCCCGAACAACAACAAACACTCCCGACGGAACCCACGGATATTTTGGAGACGGACGGAGCCGAAGTACGCGACATGGAACTCACGAAATTGCCCAACAATGGAGGAGATATTTTGACAGTGGCGGCAGGAGACAAAGTCTACTTTTTCCAGTTGCAAGAAAAGAAACTATTGCATGTCTACAAAATGCCCATTCACTTTCGCGAGGAAGGAGGCGCCACATTGCATCCGGATGGAACAAGGTTTGTAGCGGGAGGCAGTGACTTGTGGGTCCGTGTCTTTGACTTTGCCACCGGGAACGAATTGGAATGCAACAAAGGACATCATGGACCCATTCGGTGTGTTAGGTATTCACCCGATGGAAAGCTCTACGCTAGTGGGTCGGAAGATGGAACCATTCGTCTCTGGAAGACGGATCCAGAGGAGTAAAAGCACTCGCAAATCATTTCGGATAATGCAACCTGCTATAATACTCGATTCGTAAGGTCGAACCGTGGGCGAAAAGAGCTTCATTTGGCTCAAGCACCCTTCAGTTTTTTGGTGAACTTGGCAATTCGGGGTTGCAAAATCTGCTTAGCCGATGTTGCTACCGTACAGGACTTGCGTTCTCTAGCTAGACTTAATCATTAGATAGCACGAACCGTTGCTATCAGCGCTAAAGATAGCGTCAATGTCAGCCGCTTCGGATGACCAATAGACAACCACTTCATTCAATTCAGACCGTTGATCGAGGGACTTCCAGCTTTCAAATGAATGCTCCATGTTGTGGGGCGCTTTTGTACAATCAAGGGAGTGCTGCATAAGAATTTCTGGTGCACTGTTCAAGAGAGTCACGAGAAGAGGAGCCAATTTACAGACCTTGACGGCCGACGTGACCTTGGCAGAATTGGTATGCTGCGAAAACAAGGCAGTCCACTCAAAGTGAAAACACCGCCACTTTCTTGAGGCCTTGCTTTGCAGGTGGTGTATTGCATATTCTAAGAATGGCGTAAAGCAGGGCTGAAACGGAAATTGTTCTTGTTTAGTTGCAGACTACTTGTGCCATTATTATTTGTTGTTTCTTCATGACAGCTAACGCAGTAACCAGAAACCCAGAAATCATGACCCAGAAGCATATCTATGGAAGATGACAGGTTATCTGTCCTAAACAAAACCGAGTGAGGTTTATCTACTTCATAGCGCTGGAAGTTTGATGTGTGTTCATGCTTTACAAAAATAGTTTGTCCTCGCGTACACTTTCTAGTCCTCATCGTATACGGATTTACTGGCGCCACCCTTGTACGGTTGCAGATAACTGCAGACCACTCCAAAGATGAGATTTCTCATGGCAAATGCCATAATTGCAGTATAACGTCGTCCTTTGGCCCAAGCAGGCATGAGACCGTATGTCAAGGAAGCTCCCAAGATCCATGTCGAAACACCCAGCGCCCATGCGACTTTGCCATGAGGAGATCCACGGCCTCCTCCAAAGCTAATTCCCATGCCTCCGCCTTCTCGGGCTTCTTTGGGCATTCCTCTAAATCGCAGCTGTGCCACACATACGAGCCAGGTAAATCGGTTCATGTAATCCAGAGCAGGAGGGATGCTAGTACCCAACAGCGTGATACCACCCCATAGTTTAAGTTGTTGCATGCGGTAGGCTGCATCGGGCTTGACAATGAGTCCCTTGGTCCATAGAGGGGCATTCCATTCGTCGCCTCCTTGTTTGGGAGCATCATCGTCGTCCAGGCTGCAGAAGCACCACATAAAACAGTCAAATATTTAGCAAAATGATAGGGATCAGTCAGACAAGCACGGAAGAGTTTAACCCAATAACACAACCAGACAATGGAGAAAAAGTACGTGAGAAACATCTTTCAGAGATCCATATATAATATCCCGTCCAATCTTTCGATTTTCCAATTTCTTGGCACCCATGTTCCCATCACACACGAGCTGTCTTTCTGTCTGTAACTTGTAACTTACCCATCGCGTTCGAACGCACTCTGTGCCCGAGCACCTGATGTTTCAATGGCCAGTCCAGCAAGACGTTCATTTAATCGGATTTGCAGAATTTTGTCCTTGGCGACTTCAATCTTGATCTTTTGCTTGATATCGCTACCGGCGGCGGCAATGAGATTGTCCGTGGCCGTGACAATCTCTTCGTAGGTTGCGTCTTCGACAATTCCCAATTCTCGATGCAATTTGGCACGTTCCATTTTCATGCGACGAGCTTCTCGTTGTCGCTCTTTCTCCGCTACCCATGGCAATTTCTTGAAGGGATTGGGGACTGTCGCGGCAGCATGCAGAGCCGAAGTCGATGCTGTTGTGGAAGAAGACGCCAGTTGAACCACCGAAGTTGTAAAGGCGGCCGTGTTACCGACTATGGTCACGAGAAGGGCCAGTATTGAGCAGGACTTCATCATCTTGACTAGCTAGTGTCCTGTAGTACTGTAGGAATGTGGAAACTCAGAGCTGGCAAACTGAAGGTAGGGTATGGTGGTATGCCTCGACCCTGCAAAAGTGTTCTGTGGTAGACTGTATTGCTGCTCTACTCGTTAGACACCGCTTACGTTGAAGTTTGAGAGCCTCAACGATGATGGCCGCTTGCTCGTGTCCACGTCCCTCGAGTTTCAGCTCATTTTTCTCCAGCTGGAAGCCAACACTGACGTGTTGTTCATCACGGGTGAAGCACAGACGACTGGCTGATGCTCACATTTTGGCAAAAGATCCATCCATGCTTGCATCCAGCGTGTGGTAACCTTTCCCAATTGAAGAGTGGAAGACATGGCTTTCTCCATGTACCTTTCCAACGACTGCTTGGTAGTACCGTTGCTTGCTGGTGGTATATGTAGTGGTCATCATGAGAGCTGTTCATTTTTGTGTTTTGCTGAGCTTCTTGGTGACGCTCAAGGTCCAAACCTTGGCGGCGTTCTTACAAAACGTGCGTTCAACCCACATCACCCATGGACCAACGCATTTACCTCGTCTATTCTCCTCCAGAAAATCCTTCCAAGACAGAAACGATGATACTTCCTTCTTGGTTCATGTGATTGTCACTGACAATGTTATTCTACCAGGGGAACAAATGTCTCTATCCCTGTCAGACGAAGAGGCCATTCCGCTGTTACAAGACTGTTTGGAACAAGAACGGCACACCCGAGTTGTGCTGGCAGTGCGACTGGTCGTAGACGATGACACCATCACTGAACAGCAAGAGTTGAATCTGGCTCAGATTGCTAGTCTTTGCGATACCGTAGGACTTCATGTTGGCACGCAAGAAAACCAGGTGATCCTCGAATTGAACTGTGTTGGAAGAGTGCGCCTGTTGGAAATGAAACATCAATATGACATTATGGGTGATGATGACGATGATGATGGCAGCCACTATCAGTTTACGGCCGAGTGGCTGCAGGAAGGAATTGACAATCAATCAGAGCTTGACAAGGCTAAACGATTGGAGCAAAATATTGACCTTCTGATGCAAAGGATATCCAAATTGGAGCAACAGATCAAAGAAGGCAACAATACTGCCACTCTAATGGAAAACTATGAGATAACCAAGGCACGTGTGGCTCAAACCATTGCCAAATCGATGCCCCAAAATGAAAACACCACCAGTTACATGGAATCAAGCGACTTGCTGCAGTTAACTGCCACCAGCTGGGCAGTGTTCTTGTGTTTGAATGATACAACTCTGGAAGCCAGATACCGTCTTCGAGCTCTGGACTGGCATATTCTAGTGGAGCGAATGAAGCTGGCTCAATATGTACTAAGAGAGAAGCAACTCCTCCTCCAAGGACTGTTGCTGCAAAAGGCGCAAGAGACAACAAGTTGCAACGACAACAAGCTGCCTGGAGTTGATCAGGATGCTTTCCAGTAATCAGGAAACAACAATCTGCAAATACCACTCCTACGGCCACTATTGCCTAAACATCCTTGTTGACTTGCAGGTTGCAGAAGCCAATGCTTGACCAACAGTTGGGATCACATCAATGTATCCTTGGGTTCCTTTTCTTTTGGAGGAGACTGGAGCAAAGATGCCTACAGGTACAGCCGTATAATGAATCTATGGCTTTGGTCCCTATTCCCAAGCCAACCGGTTTGAGAGATGAATTGATCCCGGCCAACAAGGTGGTAGATGTTTACAGATTTGTTGGAGAGTTCATCACTTGGTTGGTACTTGATGAGTAGCCCATTTGTTCTCTTCTGTCTATGGCATGGCTGTCTCTGGTGCTATTCTGACAGTGGGGCAAAAGTGGCAACGATTGCTTGGATGACAAAGCTGATACTATCAACTTCAGTCTGGGGATCATTTGGTTTTCTCCGTTCTACAACTTCGTCTCATCAGCGCTTCAGACAGTTGTCAATGAGTTTGGGTTTGTGTAGGTGTCAGTGACAGCTGCTGGCAATACGGGTCATCTCTCGTATGTTGTGGGCAGTCTTTTTGGGGAAGCTTCTATAGGTGTCAATTTAGTGTTGGCACAACCTGGAACCCAGGAGCCATTGATGGACGTGACAACATGGGAGCTCCTGATACTGATTAGCACCTAGCTGGGTCCAATAACCTTGTCAGCTTGCACTTTGATGCCCGTGCTAATCCAGCGATTGGAATCAAGGTCAATGTATCCTTGAGTTCCAGAAGATTTCGCCAAGCTTCGATACTTCTCCATGATGGGCTTGATATCATGCTTCAAGTCAATCTTTCCCAGATTCAAGAGAGATGCCACCACAAACTCATACTGATCCAACTTGGGATCTTCTGTTCTCCCTTGATCTGATTGGATCATTTCTTTGCTCACTTCTCGCTTTTCCCAGGCAAATTGTCGACAAAGGCTCTCCATGTCAGTTTTCAGAGTTTGCAGTTTCCCCAGAGTATCTCCCACAAACCAAGTGCCCAAACACAAATAGAAGATTTGAAAAAGCTTCATATTGGGGCTCATGATGATGTCCCCATAGCCAATGGTAGTCGTTGATTGTATAGACCAGTAGATACTCTCTCCCCACGTCCACTGGGATCCCTCCTCAATACTGCTCCAGTTACCATGGAAGAACCGAGATGCAATGACACCAACCATGTTCAGCAAGACAAAGTGGGCGAATATCTCACCACACCTGAAGAGACGGATCCTCCACAATTTCTTGGACAAAGGTGCACCCTCGGCAACGTCTTCTTCGTCAAATCTAAGATATGTTTTGTAAAAGTGTCGTAAAGGTGAAAATGCATCCCCTGCCGCCGCACTAAAGGCTGTGATTGATACGCAAACTGACACAATCATGTAGGCAGTTCCAATATACACGTTGTCCTTCCCCACAGTCACATCGCCGTAACCGACTGTACTCTGTCGCCGGTACCAATGATTCATTTGTTAAAGGCATTGCTTGAGCATCCACCAGAACATGCACCACATTTGAAAAAGATGCGCTTACCAAAGTCACGGATGCCATATAGCAGCCATTCAACCAACTGATTCCACTGGATGGATCTCCACAGATGTTTCTATCTCGCATGACTTGACAAAACAGAATGGGCGTCAAAATGAAGAAAGCCACAACCACGAGGAAAGCATTGGCCGACTCATTTCTCATCCAAGGCCATTTGTGTACTTCTTTCGAATACAGGGCAATCCATTCTGTGAAGTGAAGACAATCTTGTGTTTCTTCCACGTGATGCAATGCCCGATCCACGGCTTCCAACAGGTATTTCTCGGTTGTCTTGATTCCCAGCCAAGTTTCCCTCCATCGGAGCAGTGGATTGCGTTGTTGTTGTCCAATGACTTGAGAATCAAACAGCTTTCGCAATAACAGTAGATCTTCTTTCCTCACGTCTTTGGGATTGTCGCAGTTGTTCCGAAGAGCAATCTCGTGGCACATCGTCTCGAGTTGGAGGCGGGCATCATAGGTCATCCCAAGACGATTGCCACGCCGATGCTCGATTTTTGCCGCCAGTCTTTCCACTGCTGATTCTCCTTCTTCATGGCTTTTGAGACGATGAGAATAAGAGACCGTTGTCGGGGGCGTTGTAAGGAGGTTGTCTACCTCAGTTGACATGTTTCTGAGATCCACAAACGACAAACGACACTACTTGTTGTTAGTATTGCCACAACAAGGGTAGACTATATGTAGCAAACAAACGTCAATAATTATTTTTAAAAGCTGCTTCATTCCGCTTGTCTTCCCACAGCCCGAAATCGAGTCCCGTTTGGTCAGGGAGTCGACTGTTCGTGAGGTCACCTCACGATTTAAAAACATAGAAGGGGGTCTGGGGGTGGCTTGTGCAATTTACTTTGGCTCTTTTGAATAGGGGCAAAGAGTACAAAAGCTGATTCTGCAATTAAGAGGCCTTCTTGAAGTGCTTTTGGTGTGTTAAAGCATGCACTAGTAATTAGTAAGGATTGGTTCAAAGGAAATCCTTTCACATACTTTAAACCATCACTTCTGGTTATGGTTTGAAGTGTACAAAGAGGCTAGAGATTTAACACAGAGTTTCTAAAAAGCTAGTAAGACATTTTACAAAACTTCAATGAATTCCTAGGATGCCCTCCAGAGGATTAGGTGGAATCTACGATTATTTGGCAAGCGTTGTGCATGTACAGTTGAGAGGATGTGGTAGAACATACCAATCAACCAATCAACTGCTCCAAGCTGAGAGCTTGGACAACCGCTTCAGGCTGGGACAACAGCTACAAGCTACAGCTACAGGCTTAGACAACAGCTACAGCTACAGCGGAGCATTGTGACAAATCTGGCTTCCAGTCGATTCTTGATCAAAGGATTTTATAATTCCATCAGGCATTTGCTGTATCTTCTCGTATGAAGCCATTTGTTGGAAGCACCATTGGTACGATTCCCAGCCTTCGTCATGATCACGGAGCATGACAGGCGGTCTTCATTCTTGGTGCTTTTTCATGCTGGAGGTGGAAACGCTTGTGCTTCGTGGATGCCATTATTCGTTCTTCTTGTACTGATACTGGTATTGGCTCATATGGCTCGTTGGTCGGTGTTGGCTGGCGAATTTAGGGCTGGCACTCTTCGTAACCTTGTTCTTTGTCAGCTTCAGGCTGGGACAACACTTCAGGCTGGGACAAACATTGGGCTGGGACAACAGCTTCAGCGTGGACAACAGCTTCAGGCTGGGACCATAGCTTCAGGCTGGGACAGCTTCAGCGATTCTCACCGCATGATCAATTTCATCAGGCAATTCCTGTATGTAGCCCTTATCTGAGCTTATTGTTGTTGCGACAATACCATTGTGATTGATTTAATCTAACGATCTAAGAGTGTAAAGTTTGTATTTCCAATAAGTGAGCAGTTATTATTATTTTCTGAATAAGCCTGCCAATTGAAAGCTGTAAAGCTGAATTGTAAGCTGTATCCCGTCGACCTCCCTTACAGCTGAAATGAAGCTGGAGCAAAGAAAGATAGGAGAGAGTCCCAGCAAAGTGCTGAGGTAAATTACCACCCATGAGGAGCTCCGAATGACAGCAACTGTGGAGCCGGAAGACCTTAGTGAAAATGTCGGCCGTTGTTCAGAGTCGGAATATACTTAGCACGATCCCTTCGACCCCGATATTGGACCTGAAGAAGTGGTACTTCAATGCCAAATACTTTTTGCGCGCAGACATTTTGGAACATTCACAAGAGACAGGCAACCTTGGTTGTCTTCGAACACTGTAGAGCGACGAGACTGTCAGTAATTACGGTATATCAGTTTGCTACCAATTTTCTTGAGCAGCTCGCATAGGAAGCAGCTCCTCATTGACATGCTGAAGGCAACATACTGCAGCAGTGGAGCTCAAAGTAATATCATCTGTAGCTTGCTGGACCAGATAATAGGGCACCAAAAGAGTCAGGACAAATCCAGTGCGAGAATTGACGGACACGGATCTGTTCATCTCATATCCATAAATCCGGGAAGTCAGCATCGACCAACATCAAGTCCCTGATCAAGTTTAGGGCTAAAACAAAGCCTTTTCACTTGTGCCAATCAGATCCGAATGATACGTTTGATGCTTGAGCATGGGAATGCTGGGATTGTGACTTGAATCGTGCCACCTGGTGCACAATAAATGTGATGTCTGGCGAGTGTTCGAGCAATATAAAGAAGCATCAACTGCAGCTGGATAGTCACTCTTCTTCAAATGGCCCCCCAGTTTGTCAGCTCGAGAGGATCGGTGGCGGCAGGAGAAGCTTCTTGCTAGCTCAACATACCAGTATATTCATGACTTTTGATGAGCCTTTTTGAGTAAGCTAACATTGTCTCCCTGTTCTTTCAAAATTAATCCGAGAATCCAAAGATGTCACCTTTTCTTCCATGGTGAGGTCATATCACAGTTTCTGGAGCTGCCCAACATAGGACTCAATCAGATCATTGTCTGGACTGAGCAGATTTGGTCAATACAAATAATTTATACATGAGTTGATGCTTATGAATAAAACATGGGTCTGCTGCGAGTTTCGAAACCAAGTTGGATCACGCGACATAGATGCTCATAAATAATTTGGTGAATCGGTCTGCCCATAGTGGACTTGTCAAGTTTCAAAACACAGTCCTGTCCTTCATATCCTTTGGTCGATAGTGAGGCATTCCATGTAAGTGGTGGTGACAGGCTGAGGGCTTTGACAGAAAGCAAGAGTAAAATCACATTGTCTCGATTCCCATCCAGTGCAGCTGCAGAAGAAGACCGGTCTAACGGTGGCCAACCAACAGTGGAGAGTACGCGCCCTTCATAGGACTAAGGTCTCCTCTGCAGCACATCTTAGATTTGAACTTATTTAATTGTCGTCTGGTAACCTCTTAATCGTTGCACCCATGTTCCAGAACCGCCTTTAGTGTGAAGGCATAGAAGAACGCTGTACGATGTGCCAAGTCCCTTTGCTTCAAGGCTGGCAATTTTTTGTCCATTGCTCCCAGATGGTCTGCATGTGGTCCATCAGAGATTCCTTCAGAGAGGGAGATCAGGTTCTTGGAATTTTGGCCTTGGAGCCAGTGGGCTTTGAGAATGCAGGATGAAATGATTCTGGTTGTTGGTCAAAGGTGAATAACCACCTCTGAGATTGATCATGTGCCGAAATTGGATATCCAAAGTCAAGATAAGAGCACAACAACAGATGAAGGCCGGATATGTCTTCATTTGGGTCATGTTCAGTCTCAGGTTCTTGCTGTGGCTGTCTCTGGGATTACGACGAGGGCAGAGATTGGCTCGATGTGGAACATAGTGGTGGGAGTGCTGAGTGGGAGGCTCCTGTCAGAAGAGGGTATTTTGAGTCTGAGGGTGGCAGAACCGATTGAATTCCTTGTGAAACCTGGGTTGTGCTGGAGAGGAGCTGAAATGAAGATCATCCCTTTATCTTTTGCTCTTGTCATCTGCCATAATTTTCTCCATGTCGAGCTTCTGAAGATGAATCGTGCTGGTTGATGCCTTTCCTCTGGAGTAAGCCACTCGTCTGCTAAGGGAGGTGAGTGTCCTCATCAAATAGTCTCGAAGCGTTGGAAATGCAAATGTTGTCACTCTAGAGGTGGTTGATCTTCTGAAAGTAAACTGTTCAAACCATCATCATAGACAAGATGTACTGAGGGGAAAGGTATCCGTTGTAAGGTTGCGGATCAAGCAACATTTTCTGAATGGTACGGGTGAGGTGCCAACATTGTCCTCTCCTGGACCTGGCTGCCATTTTGAATCTTTCCCTCCTTCACTGTAAGCCGGGTTCCAAAACATATGCAGGGCATCCCATGGATGGGCATTTCTGATGAACTTGACAATCACTGACAGTTATGGAAAATATTCAATGGAGCAATGCCAGTACTGATTCGGAGTGTGGTTGTAAAGGTGAGCTGCATGAGAACTGCCAAGGGCACAGGGATTCAGAATCAAACTTCCGGCCATAGAAGTGCAGCATGATCATAATTGTTCTAGTTTGGTTACTACAATTCTATTGGCTCCCTCAGAAACCCATTCTGCCATTTGGCCCGTGCGCAGAATATTTAATTGATTGATGTGGTCCCTAAGATGTGACAAATAACTGGCTTCCAGTCGATTCTTGATCAAAGGATTTTATAATTCCATCAGGCATTTGCTGTATCTCTCTGCTATGAAGCCATTTGTTGGAAGCACCATTGGTACGATTCCCAGCCCTTTCGTCATGATCACGGAGCATGACAGGCGTTACTTCATTCCTTGGTGCTTTTTCATGCTGAGAGGTGGAAACGCTTGTGCTTCGTGGATGCCATTATTCGTCTCTTCTTGTACTGAATTCACTGGTATTGGCTCATATGGCTCGTTGGGTCGGCTGTTGGCTGGCGAATTTAGGGCTGGCACTCTTCGTAACCTTGTTCTTTGTCAGCTTCAGGCTGGGACAACAGCACAGCTTCAGGCTGGGACAACAGCTTCAGGCTTGGGACAACAGCTTCAGGTTGGGACAACAGCTTCAGGTGGGACAACAGCTTCAGCCGATTCTTCACCGCATGATCAATTCATCAGGCAATTCCTGTATGAGCCCTTATCTGAGCTTATTGTTGTCTGCGACAATACCATTTTGATTGATTAATCTAACGATCTAAGAGATGTAAAGTGTATATTTCCAAATAAGTGAGCAGTTATTGATTATTTTCTAGAATAAGCGCATTGTAAAGTTGTAAAGCTGAATTGTAGTTGTATCCCGTCGCACTCCTTTACAGCTGAAATGAGCTGGAGCAAGAAACGATAGGAGAGAGTCCCCAGCAAAGTGGCGAGGTAAATTACATCCATGAGGAGCTTCCGAATGACAGCAAACTGTGGAGCCGGAAGACCCCTAGTGAGTCAATGTATCCTTGAGTTCCAGAAGATTTCGCCAAGCTTCGATACTTCTCCATGATGGGCTTGATATCATGCTTCAAGTCAATCTTTCCCAGATTCAAGAGAGATGCCACCACAAACTCATACTGATCCAACTTGGGATCTTCTGTTCTCCCTTGATCTGATTGGATCATTTCTTTGCTCACTTCTCGCTTTTCCCAGGCAAATTGTCGACGAAGGCTCTCCATGTCAGTTTTCAGAGTTTGCAGTTTCCCCAGAGTATCTCCCACAAACCAAGTGCCCAAACACAAATAGAAGATTTGAAAAAGCTTCATATTGGGGCTCATGATGATGTCCCCATAGCCAATGGTAGTCGTTGATTGTATAGACCAGTAGATACTCTCTCCCCACGTCCACTGGGATCCCTCCTCAATACTGCTCCAGTTACCATGGAAGAACCGAGATGCAATGACACCAACCATGTTCAGCAAGACAAAGTGGGCGAATATCTCACCACACCTGAAGAGACGGATCCTCCACAATTTCTTGGACAAAGGTGCACCCTCGGCAACGTCTTCTTCGTCAAATCTAAGATATGTTTTGTAAAAGTGTCGTAAAGGTGAAAATGCATCCCCTGCCGCCGCACTAAAGGCTGTGATTGATACGCAAACTGACACAATCATGTAGGCAGTTCCAATATACACGTTGTCCTTCCCCACAGTCACATCGCCGTAACCGACTGTACTCTGTCGCCGGTACCAATGATTCATTTGTTAAAGGCATTGCTTGAGCATCCACCAGAACATGCACCAATTTGAAAAAGATGCGCTTACCAAAGTCACGGATGCCATATAGCAGCCATTCAACCAACTGATTCCACTGGATGGATCTCCACAGATGTTTCTATCTCGCATGACTTGACAAAACAGAATGGGCGTCAAAATGAAGAAAGCCACAACCACGAGGAAAGCATTGGCCGACTCATTTCTCATCCAAGGCCATTTGTGTACTTCTTTCGAATACAGGGCAATCCATTCTGTGAAGTGAAGACAATCTTGTGTTTCTTCCACGTGATGCAATGCCCGATCCACGGCTTCCAACAGGTATTTCTCGGTTGTCTTGATTCCCAGCCAAGTTTCCCTCCATCGGAGCAGTGGATTGCGTTGTTGTTGTCCAATGACTTGAGAATCAAACAGCTTTCGCAATAACAGTAGATCTTCTTTCCTCACGTCTTTGGGATTGTCGCAGTTGTTCCGAAGAGCAATCTCGTGGCACATCGTCTCGAGTTGGAGGCGGGCATCATAGGTCATCCCAAGACGATTGCCACGCCGATGCTCGATTTTTGCCGCCAGTCTTTCCACTGCTGATTCTCCTTCTTCATGGCTTTTGAGACGATGAGAATAAGAGACCGTTGTCGGGGGCGTTGTAAGGAGGTTGTCTACCTCAGTTGACATGTTTCTGAGATCCACAAACGACACTACTTGTTGTTAGTATTGCCACAACAAGGGTAGAGTAAATGTCATTTTAAGACCGGGTGAAGATTAAGACGTGTAATTAATAGAGGTTCTTATGTAGGATCTACGTAGCTTCAGTACCAGAGCAATAGAGTGCTTCCTAAGTGTTCCGTAGGATCTTACAGGACTCTCCTATGTAGGATCCTACACAGTTAAGTACTGTAAAGTCTTAAACTGCAGAGAAAAAGAATTCGTCACAAAAGTGAGGATATTTTCAATCAACCATAACTCCACCAATAAGTACACTCTGATCTTGGGAATTTAATGGGATACTCAACAACATATGCCCTTTCGATTCAGCTACTTAAAAGTACAATATTCGAGATCCACCTCTTAAGAGAATAATCCGCGGAAAGGTGGGTCGTAAATCGCATTTCACTCTATATGTAGCAAACAAACGTCAATAATTATTTTAAAAGCTGCTTCATTCCGCTTGTCTTCCCACAGCCCGAAATCGAGTCCCGTTTGGTCAGGGAGTCGACTGTTCGTGAGGTCACCTCACGATTTAAACATAGAAGGGGGTCTGGGGGTGGCTCGTGCAATTTACTTTGGCTCTTTTGAATAGGGGCAAAGAGTACAAAAGCTGATTCTGCAATTAAGAGGCGTGCTTTTGGTGTGTTAAAGCATGCACTAGTAATTAGTAAGGATTGGTTCAAAGGAAATCCTTTCACATACTTTAAACCATCACTTCTGGTTATGGTTTGAAGTGTACCAAGAGGGCTAGACGATTTAACACCAGATTCATAAAAAGCTAGTAAGACATTTTACAAAACTTCAATGAATTCCTAGGAATGCCCTCCAGAGGATTACGGTGGAATCTACGATTATTTGGCAAGCTGGTTGTGCATGTACAGTTGTAGAGGATGTGGTAGAACATACCAATCAACCAATCAACTGCTCCAAGCTGAGAGCTTGGACAACCGCTTCAGGCTGGGACAACAGCTACAAGCTACAGCTACAGGCTTAGACAACAGCTACAGCTACAGGCTGGGAGCATTGTGACAAATAACTGGCTTCCAGTCGATTCTTGATCAAAGGATTTTATAATTCCATCAGGCATTTGCTGTATCTCTCTGCGTATGAAGCCATTTGTTGGAAGCACCATTGGTACGATTCCCAGCCCTTTCGTCATGATCACGGAGCATGACAGGCGGTACTTCATTCCTTGGTGCTTTTTCATGCTGAGATGGTGGAAACGCTTGTGCTTCGTGGATGCCATTATTCGTCTCTTCTTGTACTGAATTCACTGGTATTGGCTCATATGGGCTCGTTGGGTCGGCTGTTGGCTGGCGAATTTAGGGCTGGCACTCTTCGTAACCTTGTTCTTTGTCAGCTTCAGGCTGGGACAACAGCTTCAGGCTGGGACAACAGCTTCGGGCTGGGACAACAGCTTCAGGCTGGGACAACAGCTTCAGGCTGGGACCATAGCTTCAGGCTGGGACAACAGCTTCAGCCGATTCTTCACCGCATGATCAATTTCATCAGGCAATTCCTGTATGTAGCCCTTATCTGAGCTTATTGTTGTCGTCCATGCATCCCTCCCTTTTCATCAGCCATAGCGGCTTCTTGTTGGCATAGACTATGGTCTCAGTTCCAACCACGATGAGATCCAGTCAGGGTAGATGCACAAAGAGCTGGCTGGAGTGGAGAGCTCTGCTTGGAGCCTCACTCCTCTTGACAGTGGGAATGGGCCAGCCACAAAGCTGGCTGCCAATGCTATTCAATCTCCACAGCAATGATTGAACAACTCACTCTTTGCCTTGGCACAATCCACACAGGAAGGCTTCAACTGTGGGAAACTAGTGCTACTGAGCTGTATCTGGTCAACTATCCTTTCATTACTTCTCTTCTTTAAACTATGCTAAAATCAACTAACACAAATCCTCGACAGCACTCAGCCATGCAGCTTTGGCTCTCTTTGCATCTCATTTGGCTGGTGCTGGCAAGCTAACTTTCTATATTGGTCTTGGCTGAAGAACTGATCACCCTTGGGTATATAGATTCCTCAGCTATTTCTGTATTGCCAGATGGCTGCACTGCTGACCACTGTTGGAGTATACAAATGTCACAGCGATTCTTCCACCTGGCTAAACCAGCACAGCTGCTTCGCACCACAATGGGATTCACGTGGATTTCCACTCATCGCTCCCCACCATGTGATGTGTCCATGGTGGTGTCTAGGAGATCAGCTGTGTCTCTTTGCCAGAACAGAACTGCTCAGAATGGGCCATATCTGGAGTAACCCCAGTTTTCGTCAGGATGTCTGCGGGGTTGATTGCTCCCGGTAGATGTGAAACGAGATGGTCCCTGGGCAATGGCTTCTCTGACAAGTGGTAGGAGAGGGCGTGATGTTCTCTTCTTGAGGGGCGAATGGGGCTGGGTGAACTTGTCACCACAGACCCATTGTCGCCAAACATGTATGTTGGCCCCTTTACCTCCACACCAAGATACCTGAGTGTAACTCTGGCTGCAATGGCCTGTTGGGTGGCAACCCTAGCAGCAACGAAACTCAGAGCCGTATGTGGCTGTTCCACAGTAGCTTGCTTCTTGCAGTACCATTCGAATGGGGTCTGGTTCACATAGTGCAGTACACCAGTGACTGCCTTGCCATTGACCCAATCGTGGTATAGGTTTGCATCCACATAGGTCGTCAATACTACTCGGCTTGCCCTTTGGCTGTGGGGCATCTACTGGGAGTTCTCCTGTGCCTCCCCATAGACCGTCCTTGTCCAGTCGTAGGTTCGGTATTCCAGTTGAGAGTAGTCTGGCTCGTTGTGTGCGGATCCTGATTCCTGCCTGGTTCATCTTGACCAAGAATCCAGTGATCCTCTTGAGTCTTTCCAGGTTGCCCCACTCTGGGTGCCACCCTGAAGGACGACATTGACATTACAGAGACTGCAATTCAAATCTCCAAGTGAAATTGCCCATTGCAATGCCCCAATCAGGACTGGTATTTTGAGATCCCATCTCATCAAGGAGAGGAGAGGTATCAAGCTCTTGGTGGTCGTTCTTCTCCACTGGACTGGTTACCTAAGTGGATGGGTTCTCCCCAAACAAGGATACATACTGGGCCTTGACAGTTCAATGTACTTTCTTGTGTCATGGACAGGATTCCGTCGCCATCCCTTTCAAAGTACATCCCAGATGGAAGGTGAAGGTCCAGTTCCTTGAGTTTGAATTGTGTGGTGGAGCCTGCAGTAGGTCGATGATGACTTGAGGTTGCTTGGAAGCTATCAATAGGTCGTAACATAGCAACCGATGTACTCATAGTGGTCGCCACAATCACGCATCAGATATCTGGCTCAGCCTTGGAGGGCTTGAAGCCAAATCCGTGAAACACATCATACATTCTATCATGCCAACATTTGCCTGATGACTTGAGGCCATATTGGGCCTTGATCATCTTCCTCGTTTGCCCAGCCATGTCTCCAAACTCCACCAGCAATAAAAACGCACTCTCAGTCGGTAGCTTTCCCAGGTATGCGTTGCCAATGTCGTTGCCCAGAGTCAAGCCCATTCAACTCAGCCAAGAAAATAACCAGACGGATGCCCTTAAAGGACACAACACCTGAGTAGGGTGGGTCGACTGGTGTCTCTGTCCTGTGCCTCCTGCCACAACCTTGCTTGTGCCGCCCGTCGTGTTTGACGGATAGACCATATGACATGGTTATCTTCTGGTAGCCTGTTGGGACTGGGTGTACCCTTTCCCAGTGACTCGAAGGTGTCGTATTCCTCAACTGGGCAATCTCAGTCTCTCTGCATCCTGCCACTTACTGTTGCCATTTTTCTCATCAATGAAAACAGCTTCCGCGTGGTTTCTTGGGACCTGTAAACCGTATGAAAAAAA